ATCAATAACACCACTTCCTCTTTCTCCCCTACCTCTCTACCCATCCACTCAATTTTCCTAGTTTCATAAGATAGACATTGAATATGATGATTGTATTCTTCTCTTTTCCTCTCTTCATTTACTTGACCTTTTTAAAAATAAATTTCTTTTATTTCAAAAATCAAATAGTTATTACAGAATTTTATTTCCTTTCTATTAAGCCAGGTGGATCAAAACATCAAAGGATCAATATCATTGTTTTTCATTCAAAACGTTGTCATATCCAATTGTTCTTCAGCAATGTGTTTGTAACACATCATCCCCTCTTGGAACAATAGTGACCTTCTGTTTCCTGGCTTTATGTACAGCAAGCCTTTCTGTACACCATAGATAAGTTAATTTTCTTTAGATGCCACTTTTAATTATGTCATTATTCCTGTTATTGCTTATTTTATTAAGACTGAACTCTTCTGCCTAATAATTAAGAAGTCAAAGATAGTGATTATGTCTTCCATGCTCATTATGCAGTGGATTTGCCCCTTTGTAGATACTTTCCCCATTCCAGTCAGTAACCTCTCATTCTTCAACAGTCTACTTTAATTTCACCTCCTCTTTAATTTCACATTTGGGAAGCCTTTCTTAACTAGTTATTCATTTCATCTTCCAGGTTTTCATAGCATCTCTCATAGTATAGTTTGTTTTTTGTCATCTATTGTAACTTACTTTCTACTTTTGAGTTCTTTAAGATCCAGAACTAGGCTTTTACCTTCTATTTTCCAGTTGTGGCACCAATAACTGCTATAGGGTAAGGATTTAATGTTGATTTTCAAAGGTTCTAGTGCAGTAGTTTAAAAATAGTTGTAAACCATGTGATATATTTGATAATTATATCTGTTTAAGTGAAGGCATATATATAACAATCTAATAATATGTGATATATTTTATGCTAGTATTGGACTTACTTTGAAATTCTTCATTTTGCCTTATTGTCCTTCCTTCCTTCCTTTCTTCCTTCCTTCTTTTGTTCCTTCTTTCCTTCCTTCTTTCCTTCCTTCCTTCGTTCCTTCCTTCTTTCCCTCCTTCCTTCCTTCCACTATGATAGACAAACACTCTACCACTTGAGCCATGTCCACAGCATTTTTGATGTTTGAATTGTGTGTATATGTGTGTGTGTGTGTGTGTGTGTGCGCGCTTTGTGCCTGCCAGTAGTAGAGCTTGAATTCAGGGCCTCATACTCTTCAATTGGCATTTTCTCTCAAGACTGATGGTCTAGCAATGGAGTCACATCTTTACTTCCACTATTGCTGGTCAATTGGAAATAATAGCCTCACAGACTTTTCAGCCACCTAAAAGCTAGGATTATGCTTGTGAGCCACTGCTGCTCAGCTCTATGTTTTGTTTGGAATCTTGTAACTTTACATAAACTATGCTTGAACTTGTGATTCTCTACTTCTGCCTCCTGAATAGATTGACTGAGGACATGTGTCAAATGGTAGAGGACCAACCTAACAAGTACACGGTCCCTAGTTCAAACACCAGTACTGTTAGTTTAAACAACAACAACAGCAACAAACTAACAAGTACTAGGTCACAGGTCATTCCAACTTTTAAATATACAGTAAAATTAAAAACTCACAATTTAATATTCATCATAAATATTTTGTTTTATAAACACACACACACACACACACACACACACACACACACACACACACACACACACATACCACTCACCATTTAAGTTCCTTCAAAAGTCAGTTCAAATTCTACATTTTCTAATAAACTGTACATAAATCTTTTTGATAGTATTACTTGTCTCAAAAATTTTTGGTACTCAATCTGTAAGAGAAAACTGTATTTTTATTCCCTTTGGCCAACTATTTTATCTCTTACTTAACATTAAAGCTGTCATTATTTTTACTCCATTTTTAAACTTTTATGGTTTCAGGTATATGGTAGAAAATCAATCAATACTTAATGAATTTTTGTTGCTCTTGTTGCTAGTGATTATTATGAATCTTCTAGCCATGGACTGGTGAGCTTAATTTATTTTATAATCACCCGGGTTTTTATAAAAATTGCTACCTTTTTTCATCCTGGAATATCTTTATAGTTCTGTAAAATTGGTTCTGCATCTGGCTAGAACTTTCTTTTTCTCTTCAGTTGATGGTAAACTTTCTTAATCTTTCTAACTCTTCTGTCAGCCTTCCTCAAAACCAATTATTTTTCTTGTTTTGTTTTGCATGCAAGTCTTTTCTTCCCATTACCTAATATCATCTCTTATATGTGACAGAAGGTAAATTTTTTTCTAATGATTTAATCCTACTAAATTTAAATGCTGCTTATTGAAACTATTAACAAGGTAAAGATTTATTTTTGTTTTTCACCAGAAGCATGAAACATTATATCATGAAAGTTATATTTCCTTTAATACTGAAGTTTCTTATTTGTGATTTAGTTTGAATTTTATTTTTAAAGTTATGTAGCTGTTTACTTTATATTGTTTTTTTAAAATCCTGTCTAGAGCAAACCAATGATCAGTTGATTAAATTTTAATATTGATCAATATGTTTTCATTATTGATTAATATTAAAGAAAAAGATTCAAGTTAATCATTCTTTTTAGTTCATTTAACAGGTGGTTTTTATATTGGACATTTGATAATTTTTAATGGATTAAGCAGCATGCTTTGAAGACCTCAATATAGTTTAATTCTTAGATGGAACACATCAACTGGTACATTGTAGAAATCAAGGTATTCATTGGTCAATTTGTAGTATTATTATGCTTCTCATAATTTTACCCATAATTTTTTAGGACTGGATTATTTTAATATCTTTAAAATTTAGCATATATTTAAAAATTGTAGTAGCAGTTTTTGATATCTAACCAAACACTGGTAGCTTCTACCTGCTACCCTAGTTACTCAGGAGGCTGAGATTTAAGGATCACAATTCAAAGCCAGCCTGGGCAAAAAGTTCATGATATTCTTTTCTTCAATTAACTACCAAAAAGCTGTAAGTGGAGCTGTGGCTCAAGTGGTAGAGTGTAAGTCTGGAGCAAGAAAACCTTGAGGACAGTGCCCAAACTCTGGGTTCAAGACTTAGAATCAGCACACATGCACAAAAAGTAACATATAAATTTTTGTTTTGGAATTTTAACATTATTTCCCTTTATTCTCTATGTACAGGCTATTTGCATGAGATCCCTTTTGTGGATTAAAATGAGAAATGCTCATATCAATCTTCTTCACCTTAAAATTTTAACTAGGAAGTTAGGTTGAGAAGGAATTTAGAATTAGTTTTTGGCATATTTTCACTTCATCAAGGCTAAGTTTGACTTTCCATCATGAGGGGTCTTGAGCAGCCTTTGGGAGGCAGAACACGGTTTGATTCAGTCATTGCTATGTACTGGTCTGTGATGGAGCATGGACTGTGGATGTGGATCTCTTAGGGTGAAAGACATTTGATATGTGGACCATTGACAATTTAAAAGCTAATGGGTTTGAAAATAAACTTTATGGAATGCAGTCAGATGGCTAACTCCTTAAAGTATTAATTAAAAATATTGAATCACTGACCTAGCAAAGATGGGTAAAATTGCTTTATTAAAACCAGATTTAAATGAACATAAACATATGCTCACCTAAGGACTCTCCCTCAGCATACTTATTTTTTAAGCTCAGGACTAGTGTACTCTCAATTTGAAATTACAGCTAGTTTCAAAATAACATGGTGTTTATCTGCTATCTCCAAACTAGGCTGCTTTAGGAATGAGTTCAGAATTAGTAGAACAATTTTGGCTTTGGAGTCTTTAATCTCTGTAATGAAACTCATTGGGATCTTGAACTATCTGAGGGCTGCTATTTAGTCCTGTTAACTTTGGCAACTATTTTTTTCTTTCTCTTTTCCATCAATGAAGGCAGGAGAGCAGGAGGACTAGCAACTTCAAGCATTTTTGTTAAAAAACAAAAAATCACAAAAACATAAAAACCAAAAAGAATCTGTTGCTTTAAAGCAGACTTACTAAAACAACAATAAACAACAGAGAAGTACTTTATAGTTTATTTCTAAGATAATCTGTTTTTATTAGAGCAAATACTACCTATGGAGAGCAGTAGGCTCATGAATTGGATTGTTTTCACTCTTTGTGGTAATAGATACCTATTGGTCTTTCTTTTATGTATCTTATTCTGAATACACATGCAGATGCACAGGTATTTGAGTTTCATGTCAATCCTGCCTTTTACTATGAATTTCGGTGTCCTAGATTTCAAACAACAATGTGTGTGTGTGTGTGTGTGTGTGTGTGTGTGTGTGTGTGTGTGTGTGGTGGAAGGCAAGAACAGTTAGAAAGTGACTGCGCTGTTCAACGAGAATGAAAATAGATCTAAAAGGAAAATAGTTTTTGTATTAGCCGGGTGTCAGTGGCTTATGCCTGTAATCCTAGCTACTCAGGAGGCTGAGATCTGAGAATCATGGTTCAAAGCCAGCTATGAGACTCGTATCTCCAATAAACCATTCAGAAAACCAGAAGTGGTGCTGTGGCTCAAGTGGTCGAGCTCTAGCTTTGAGCTGAAGAGCTGAGGGATAGCACTCAGGCCCAGAGTTTAAGCCCCGTGACTAAAATAAAAAGTTTTTGTATTGTATGTAACCTAGAAAGGGTATTTTTTAACTGGAGTTTTAAGTTTGATTTTGTGGTGGCCACAAACCAGCCTGGATCTTATTATTTTCATATGCATACAATTTCCAAACTTCTTAAACATAGGCTCTGTCTCCTGTATCTTTTATTTAAAGCCTATCTAACTACAGTGACTTTGTTTCATGCTCAAATCAATGGCCCCCTTTATGATGGAACGTTTCAGGGGGACATTTTATTTATCAGGTTTACTTCACATATAAGTCTCGCCATGTAAGGCTGACACATCTCCATCAGCTGAGTAGCACTCAGGTTGTTCATGTTGTCTCTCACATGACCATATCCACGAATCACCTGATATTTTCCTATCTACTGTTTTGCAGGAAAAACAGAGATTTCTGACAGATGTTCTGCATGAAGTGATGCTGCTTGATGGTCTAGCCAGTTCCCATCCAGTGTCACAGGAAGTGCTACAGGCAACAGATATTGACAGGGTATTTGACTGGATCGCATATAAAAAGGTGGGAAATAGATAAGATCCATGTGCCAAAGGGACGTTTCATTATTGGGGCAGCCACACTATTTCATGCTTGATGTATTATATTTTTCTCTTTTTCCTGGCAGATAGAAATGTACTAAAGTAGAAAAATAGTCTCTATGTTCATGTCATTTTATGAACTAGTGCTTTGATTTATAAATGAGTAAAATGGAAATGAATGTTTGCCAAAGAATGCATAGAAATATTGGAAGTATTAATGAATAAATGTTTGGAGACTCGATGTGAAATTGCTGCACAAATGGTGCTATTCAAATGTCAGCTTATTATTATTAAAAGAGTTGACCTATGTAGTGACCAGTTTTTAAACCATTTTGTCTTAATGCTTATTTATTTTGATGGCTAATGCAAATGAATTGAGACAGTGCTGTGGCATGTACATTTATAAGAATTATATAAAAGAAATGGAGGAATTAAATAGGTTTCTTAAATAATTTTAAGAACCAGTTTTAGAATGGCTAAGAATAATTTTGGGCCAATGACCAGACATAAAACTAATTTATCATATGAATGTTTACATTGTTATTTGCATTAGGACTTTTCTACTATTTAATTGATGCTAATTTTAGCATTATGATACCCATCTCAGTGTTCAGTACTTATTAACCACATAAACTCTATTGTTATCTATAGTGTTAGATTGAATTTTTACTTTTTGGAAATATTGAAACTGAATAATGTTTTAAGCTTCTTTAAAAAATACTACTGGTATTATTTTGTCTCTAAACATGTTTGTATTTTATAACTAGGTGTCAAATATCAGTTCATCAGGAGCTGGTGGCATACTAATTTGCATATTTGGTTTATGATTAGGTAAATTCTATCACAATGATTTTTAACTAGCAATATAGGCAATAATAGATGAAAAAACAAATTATGTTATTAAAAATGCCTTTCAAGTCACTGATAATTACATTTGATTAAAGAGAGTACTTTTAATGTTATATAAAATAACTAGATATATAGGACCATAACATATTTGACATATTTAATTTTCATTTATGCAGAGTTATGGCTAGGCTCTGTTGGTTACAAATTCAGTTCATTTATCTGGGGTGACTCTTACCTGTTAATTTTAATTTAGAAAACAAGGTAGCATGAAGTGCTACTAAATTCTAAAAGATTATTTGTAAATACTAGTTTTATTTTAGCACGGATAAAACTAGGAAAATATTACATATACAATCAGAAAAATCTCTGCAATTGCAGGGATTGCATTTTATAGCAGACTGTACCTCTGTGGATTTATTTATGTGTCTTCTATCCTAATACATTGTCCATATGCCTGTTTTTGTTACAATATCATGCGGTTTATGGTATATTTCTCCAGAGTATAATTTGAAGTCAAGTATTTTGATACTTTTGTACCTCTTTTTCTCAAGATTGCTTTGACTATTTGAAGTCTTTGGGATTTCTATATTAATTTTCTGATTTTTGTTTCCCGTTTCTGTGAAGAATGTCGTTGGAATTTTCAGAGATTCTATTGATTCTGAATATCTTTTTCAGTCATGTGACCATTCTCACAATACTAATTCAGCTAGCCCCTGAGCATGGGAGATCATCCCATTCACTATTTTTCATGAAAGATTCTTAAAGTAATATATAATATATAGTCAGTTAGTCTTGAGTGATTTTGACAGTTGGTTTTTGTTTCAGGGATTTGAGTTACCTCATCTAAATTGTTTAAATAATTGATAAAAACTCATATATGACACATATCTTGTCATCCATACAGTAGCCACAGAATCTTTAATGGTGTAACCCCTTGCATTACAGATACTGGAAGTTTTTGTCTCATTTTCTTTTCCCTGATTTGTGTAACTGGAAATATATAATTTTAATTGATCCTCCTAAATCAAATCTTCCAATGTCATTTTGTTTTAATTTCATTTCAATGTCTTTTGTTTCCTTTCATAAATATTCTTGCCAATAATTATTATTTTCTTGTTTTAAACACTTTGAAATGAACTTCTTATTCTCATTCATTAAGCTATAAGCTAAGGTCATTAATTAAGAGGTTTTTTTTTAATGTTCTAAAAATCTATGCTTTTCTTCTTTTCCAAAAATCTTCCCCTAATTTTGCTGTCCAGGGAATCCTAATATATATCTATGTCGATATCGATATATATAGATATATATATCGATATAGATATATATCGATATATATATATATATCACATTGGGATGTCATTTTTCTTTGAATTGAAATTATTTTGTAATTTTCCATTTGATTTGTTAGTTGACCCAGGCATAATTAAGAGTATATTGATCAGTTTATAAATATTTGAAGATTTTTCCAATAAAAGTTTCTCTATCATTCAATTGATACTTAATTCTGTTGTGGTAAATGAGTACACATGGTGTGTCTTAAAACTTCTTAGGTTAAAACTTGTTTTATGGCTCTGAAATTGTACATACTGGTAGATATACTGTATGTGCTTCAAAGGAGATGTGTATTCCAGTGGTGTTGACTGGAGTGTTCTATAAATGCTGATTAGAACACTTTGGTTGATAGAGTTGTTCAAGTCTTCTATATCCTTATTGATTTTCTGTCTACTTGTTCATCGTGCTTTCTTGATGAGCACTCATTGTTTGGATTCTTTCAAACAGCAACCCAATCTAGTCCCAAAGATGTTTCTCTACAAAGATGTCATAAGAATAATGGCTAAGTTGCTAACTGATATCTCTAAAATAGCTTCAAATGTAAAGGTAGAAAACTGAAGGTTAAAACAGTTAGATTGAAATGTGATGGTCTCAGTACCAGGTCTTAGAGTGCACATTTATGTGCTCCTCTAGTTCTTTAGTTTAGCTTTGTGCAGGTTTTCCTATTAACAAGGTAGCATATAGCCAATGTGCAATTGCCAATTTAACTTATAGGTGGAATGGGAAGGCGGTGTGATTCAGGATCCATGAGAAATACTAATAGTGATCGTGGAACCACAAATAATAATGGCAAAATTTATTGAATGCTCACTGTGAGCTAGAATCTGTGTAAATTCTATTATATTCTTTTAATCCTTATACTTGCCATGTAGAATCCTAAGTACCACAATTTTCATTTTAAAGAAAAGCACAGTGGGGCTGGGAAGGTGGCTCAGTGGTAGAGCGCTTGCCTTGCATGCATGAGGCCCTGGGTTCAATTCCCCAGCACCACATAAGCAAAGAAGAAAAAAGCTGGAAGTGGCGCTGTGGCTCAAGTGGTAGAGTGCTAGCCTTGAGCTGAAGAGCTGAGGGACAGCACCCAGGCCCAGAGTTCAGGCCCCACTACCGGACCCAAAAAAGAAAAAAGAAAAGAAAAGAAAAGCACAATGATTCATGGTCAGATCTAGAGATCTGTTTCCCAGGACATAAGAGCTGGTGTTCTTTATCAGTACAAAATATTGATCAACAAGGTTGATTGGAGCTGTCATTCCAAAGTAACTTAATTTCCACTTGGTTTTGAGAGAGGTGACCTCAAATTACAACAAGATAATAATATCCTCAATTTCATGACCCAATGAACTTAGAGGGGAAAAAAAATAGACTGCATCCTGCCCAACAGAATCTGTCTGTTTCCCTCAAGGGGTTATGATCTGTTTTAATTAGATAGTAAAGTTTCATTGGCCTGTCCTTATATCCATGGGGATATGTATTTTGAGTGGCCAACAAGGAACATGAACTTTCCCTCTGAAACAGAAGAATAAAGCAACAGCACCATTCTGTAGAGGAGGCTCAGAACATGAGACATTCCACATGGTCATGGAAGAGTGATGGTGTAAGGGAATAGAGCTTCTTGGAGCCTAAGTTGGATAAGAAAGTGGAAGACATTTTGTGCCATACTAAGGAGCTTGTATTTTATTAAGTATGTCAAGGAGAACCAAATATGACTTTAAAGTAGAAGGGTAACATTAAAATTCCACACTAGAAAGAATATTGCTGTAGACATAGTAGAAATGGAAATAATGCCATAGACCTAGCCAATTCAGAGTTGATAATAGAAACTGGAATTACAAAACACAGAACATATTTTTGTAATGATGCATGCAGCATTTAATACAAATGACTTGCCACTTCTGTGCTTTCCTCCCTGAAGATTTGCTACTCGTCAGCATTAACCTCTGCCAACAGTAAACCCCTGGTTGCATCTGTTTCACTAGCTTATCATGTCTTGTAGTTAATCCCTTAATGATTATTCTAATTATTTCCACTTCTGTTTGTGTTATTCTTCCTGAAGTATAATTTTAGTACCCTTCAACTACATTTCTATAGGAAAGTGAATACCAGGAGAACCAAAGATTACAAAGAAACAAAGGTTAGGAGTCTATAGCTCAGATAATTTCTGTGCACTAGGATTTTAAAACTGAGTGCTTTTTTTAAAAGGACATACAGAGTGATGTTCATTATGTATTCTCTGAGTAGTACTTTAAAAAATTCCTTAAGTTATATCTATGTATTTCAGAACAAGAAGAGAACAATCTAAGACCTAATGTATTAAGTTAGGCCTACCAAAATCACAAGTTTATTTTTTATTTCAATTATCTATTGAAAATGAGAATGATTTTTATCTTCAAACTTCAAACTGCAGTGAACACAAGAAAACACTGTCTCTGAACAGGAAGGATGGGGAAAGATGGGTTAAGGCAGTGTCTTAGCACTAAAAGCACACAGGGAAATAAGAATCAATGACCCAATGACCTGGATGATGAAAGTGAGTGATTGCTCATTAAATTTACATATGATACCAAGATGGAAAGGGATGCTACAAGCTTCAAGGGAGGAAAAGATTTTTTAATGCCTTAAGCATTTTATAGAGAATTCTTTAAAAGCAGAATGCTTTTTCAGAAATTCTCACATAAGAATGGGTATATTTTGGAGGCCCACAAGCGAATTGTACATAGAGCAATAAAAGAATTGAGAAATACATAGGGGTCAGAGTCAACATATGTTTTTAAAAAGGAATGGTGGTGGGAATTCAACTCGCAATGT